AATAATTTAATTTATATATATATATATATATATATATATATATATATATATATATACATCATTATTATTTTTTTCTCATTTTTAGGTCAAATTATAAAAATTCAAACAGCATATTTTAGTTCTGATAGAATAAATAGAAGAATACCAAAAATTACAATCGTTTTAAAAAGGCATCCAGATTTTGTTGCAAATTGAAGAAAGAAAAAATATATACTCACACAAACATATATATATATATATATATGTATATATTTATAATAATACATATTTAACTTCAAAAATGAAATATAAATATAAACATTCATTGACAAAATATAGAGTGAGATATTATATATATGTTAAAGTGAATAAAATACAAAAAAAAAAAAAACGTATAAAAATAAAAAAAAAATAAAGTGTCATGTTTGCAATATACATATATATATATATATAACATTCTTTTTATTATTTCATGTAATAAAATTACATATATAAATAATAGTTTAATAGTAAATAATTTAAAGCTAAAATAACAATTAAAAAAAAAAAAAAATAATAAAATAAGATGAACAATTCATTTTTTATATACTAAAAAAATTACTATTTCTTAATAATTTCACGTTTTATATGTATTTATATATATATATATATTTATATACATGTGTGTGTATATATTTTTTTCTTTTTTCAATATTTTAATAATATTTACTTTATGAATGCTTTTAATTTGATTGGTCTAAAAAAAGTTTATGCCGTTTTTACATAAGAAAAAAAAATTTTTTGAAAAACATTTGATAAAATATAAAAAAAAAAAAAAAAAAGATATAAATACATAAAAATAATTTATTTATTTTTGAATTCATTTTAGAAAAAGACGTTATATAAATATTTTTCTTATTAATAATAATATTTTTAAAAAATTAAAAAAAAAAAAAAGTAAAAAAAAGGTATAAATAGAAGATAGATAATATTACAAAATGAATTTTCCATTTGTTTCATTTTTTTGAAATTTAAATTTTTTTATATATAAATGGTTACAATATTTTGAAAAAATAATGGATATATAGAAGTAAAATAAATTAGTTATAATTAAGTTATTAATTATAAAACTAATAATATATTTAAGAAAGTTTGAAATCCAATAAAATAGAAAGTATTAAAATTTTTTATTCTTATTCTTTCCTTTATGAATAAAAGAACACTAATAGTAAATTTATTAATTCTTTTATATACATGCAAAAAAAAAAAAAAAAAAAGATATGGAAAATTTTTTAAATTATTGGTAAATTTATATCAAAATAAGAAAAGAATTTATAAAAGAAAAGAAAAATTTTATTGAAAATTTATGTTATTATCTGGACAAAATAATAGTTTTATTTATTACATATATTCTGTTTTACAACTTTTTAATATTTCAGTAAATACCATAGTGATAAAAATTCATAAAATTTGAAATATAGTATATAGATATTAACATTGATTAAAAATATTTTATATAATTAATAGATACAGTAATCAATTATTTTATTTTTTTTAATAAAAAGTTTTCATTATTATTTAGAATTTTATAATACGCTTTTTTTTTTTTTTTCGTAAATTCATTAATTGAAAATAAAAAACTATAGAATATATACATATTTGTGTATATAAGAAAAAAAAAAGGAAATAAAATAATTTTTATAAAAATTATAAATATATTTTTATAAATGTATCTATTTTTATTTGGTTCTCATCATAAAACAAATAGGAAGATTTATTATTTTTGTATTAAGCTTTCTTAATGATATTTAAGGTTTGTATGCTTTATATTGTATTTTTTTTTTTTTTTTTTTTTTAGTAAGGCATTCTATAATTATAATATATTTTAATAACACAAATATATTTTATAAACGTTTTTGCCTTAAAAAGTAAAAATCAAAAAAAAAAAGAAATGAATTTCTTAAAAATTATTTACTAAAAATATATAAATGATGTAAAATAAAGCTGTTTCAAAATTATAATTTCATTAATCTAAAGACCTTTTTTTTTTTAAACTATTTTATTTTGAGTTATTTTATGAAAATTTACTCTTTTTTATATGTAAAAAACAAAGAAAAAAATTGCTTCTATACATGTAAAATATGTATAATAAGTTATACTAATTAATACTGAAATAATTTACAAAAAAGTAGTTCATATATAACTACTGCATTGTATATATATTGTTCTTTTTTTTTTCTTTACATTTTTACAATTTAAAAATTTTGCTTAATTGAGTTAATAAATATATTTTATATTTTTTCTTCATATTAAATAAAAAAGTGGTGATTAGATAATAAAAAGTGTGTAAATATTAGTTTAAAGCATTTATGTTTTTTTCGTTACAATTGAAAAATAACGTATTATAAAAAAAAAAGAAAGATACTAAATAAAATTTTTTAAAGGTTTAGTTTTATACACATAAGTTAAATATACCATTTTTTATTTTTTTATAAATTATACAAAAATAGTAATAAAGAACTTACAATGTGAAATTATATTGAATAAAAAATCAAGAAATACATATTTATCTTTTGCTTACATTTAATGAAGAGAGTTATTTAAAAAAATGTATCTTAATATTTAACATAAAATATAACACATTGACATTTTATATTATAATTTCTATGAATAATAAATTAAAATGAATAAAATCTTTAAAATTTAAAAATTATCAAAAACTTGATTTTTTCATTTTATAAAAGAAAGAAAAAAAAGAAATAAATTATATAAGAAAAAATAAAAATTACAAAAAAGCATAAGAAAAAAATTTAAAGAAAAGTATTTATGTATATATATATATATATATATGAATTTATAAAATATAACAACATAATATAATAAAATTATTTTACATTTATATTTTTATTATTAATTGAATTATTATAAAAACCATACTTGTAAAATAGCGCCGTAGTTTATTAAATTATTTGAATTTATTGAACTTGAGAATAAAAAGGGAAATATTTTTAAGAATATGTAGTATACATGTAAATTTTTTTTTTTTTTTTTTTTTGGAAAAAAACTAAGTTCTGTTTACAATTCTCTTAATTTTTTTTTTTTTTTTTTCCTGTTCATAAAAATAATTGTTATATTTAAAATAATATATACATGAAAATGAATTATATTAAAATTCTAAACTAATATAATTTATAGAAATAAAAAATACAAGAGAATATGTAAAATTTTAAATATTTTTTAAAATTTTTTTTTATTTTTTGATAATATCTTACAATTTTTTTATGTGAAATTTCAAGATTTATATAAAATTTTTATTACATTATATTTTTTTTTTTTTTTTTTTTTTTGTAGTCATATTTGCATAGACACTTCAATGATACATAAATTTTATAGTAATTACTTTTTTATTTTTAATAATTTTTTCTTTATTTATGTGATTCCATTTTTATTATATTTTGTTACTGTGATATTTCTCTTTTGTATTTAGATACTTTTATTTTTTTGTTTTAATATTTTTATTGATCAAGAGTTAATTTTATAATTTTACACATCACATAATAAATAAAGATTGACACACAAATTTTAAAGAAAAGGTATTTGAAAAATAAAGAATTTTTAAGAAATGAATGAAAAAAAGAATGATGAAAATAAAAATAATTCCATAAAAAAAAGTGAAAAGAAAAAAAAAAATAATCAGTTGTCTTCGTCGGCTCAAAAATTACTAGAAAAGAATTGTAAAAATGAAAAACAAAAATAATATATTTATATATTTCTTTTTTATTTATATAAAAATTATATAATTGTAAAGTTTTAACTTTTTAATATATAAAAATGGAAAATCTCCTTAATTCATAAAAATATATTGTATTTTTTGTTTATGAAGATATAATATCTTATTTTTAAAAAGTTATATTAACAAATTAGAACAAATAACTATTTTTATTTTTTTTTTTTTTTTTTTTAAAGTTAAATTTCATATATATTATTTGATTTTGTATATTTAATTTTATTGTAATTTTATAATTCATTTTTTATATTATATATATTTACATTTTTGATATTTATTTTTAGCTTTAAAATTACAAGAATTAATTGAAGAGAGTTATAAAAATTGTATAAAAAAAAGTGATAGAGATCAATTTAGACAATATACTCCTAGAATGTTATGGGGAAATCCATGTAAATATTTTCCTACTACTCCGTTATCTGAATTTCAAAGGTTTTATAAGAAATCATAATTTTGAAAATTTTATATTATTTGCACACATTTTATTATGCTCATTTTTATTATATATATATATGTATATATATATATATATATTTTCTTTTTTTATAGCCCACAATTATTTGAAAAATTTCACTTAGATACCTTATTTTTTATATTTTATTATCAACCAGTAATATTATAAATAAATATCAAGACATATATATATTTATATAGATATATATATATTCGTTTATATATTTATTTAAATGTTTTAAGGGTACTTATCAGCAACATTTAGCAGCTAAAGAATTAAAAAAAAAGTCATGGAAATATCACAAAAAATATACAACTTGGTTTTTGCCTCATGATAATAATGTTAGAGTTATAAATGATAAAATGGAACAAGGCACTTATCTTTCATTTGATTATGAATCTAGTAATATGAATATATATGTAGAATGGATCATATTAAAAATATATATATTTACTCTAAATAATGTCACAAATATGAAAATATTAAAAATAAATTATTATTTTTGTATTTTTTTTTTTTTTTTTTTTTTTTTTAGCTTGGTCTAAACAACTTAAAAAAGATTTTTCTTTTGAATATATTTACTTAGAGGATGAAATAACTGTCTAATATTTATTAATTGCATGCATATATTAAACCAAAAAAAAATACAAAATATTATTCTTTTTTTTTTTTCTTTTTTTTACTAATATAATTTTTTTTTATTTATAATTGTGAAATATATGATCTATTAATTTATATGTTTTTCTTCCTTAATATATGGTATATTAAAACCTAGATGCAGTTTTTATTTTTAATAAATGCCATTTTACATCCATTTTTTTTTTTTTTTTTAAATTTATTTCAAACGATATCTACTTACTATAATTTATAAATTTTTCTATATGATAAAATTAATAGAAAATAAAAAAAATTATAGCAAAAAAAAAAAAAATTTATTACTTTAATTGGAGAAAAAAAAAATAATATTAAACTTGTAGCTATATATATTTCTAGACTAATATTACTATTGTACTACATATATATATATATTTTTTTAATAAAATTAAAATTTAAATATAAATAAATTAAAATTTATTAAAAATAAAAGTTTTTTTTATTTTTAAAAAGTTATAAAATTAGAAGCTTCAAATTCATTTATTTTCTAATAAAAATATTACTTAAAAATATATATGTGATGTGTAACGAATATATGTGTATATATACTTATATATATATATATGTATATATATATATATATAAAGAATTTGAAAAATAAGATCCATTCACTTACTAACCTCTTTTTTTTTCTCTTACATTTTGTAGCAACTTTTTTTAATTTAAAGTTCAAATTAAAAAGCATTTTTTTTTTTTTTTTCGCTTTTATATTTTAATGTTGTATAAGAACTTTTAAGTTGTAGAAAAAAATAAGTGTGCATTTAATCATTAATGCATGCATGGAATAATATCCACTATATATTTGTTCTCATTTGTTCTCATTTTTCCTCTTTTTTTTTTTTTTTTTTTTTTTTTTTTATAGTAAGATGTAGTTGTAATTTTTTTTATTAATTTGTCCTACTATTATAGAAGCTATAATTTTCATATTCTTATTCGTATATGCTTGCATACATAGATATATGCTGTATTAAGACAAAATGAAATCATAAAACAACAATAACTATAATTCTATTTGAGAATTAATATTTTTTTTTTTTTTTTGTTGTTGTTACTAGTTTTTCCATAATTTATTTGTTTTCTTTTCTTATAAAATTGTACATTAAGAAAAATTAAAATTTCTTCTATGATTCTGAAATATATTTGCTAATATATTTTTTTTTTTCGAAGATAAGACAAAAAGCTTTTTTTTTTTTTTTTTTTAAGTTGTACTACTGATAAATATATAGCTTATTATACATATAAAATATTTTGACCATCACATAATATAAAAATATTTTTTATAGTTTATATAATAATATAAAATTATCTATTGCATTATTAGAATTATTTTTTATTTTTTTTTTTTAATAACATATCATTTACATATATGTGAGTATGATTGCGACTATTTCACTATAATATATATTTCTTAATTTTTTTTTTTTCCCTTAAATTTTAAAAAAAAAAAAATTGTGACTCCTATTATTATTTAAAATATATTTAAAGCGTATGTAAGAATGGAAAAGACTTCGAAAAAAAATGTTAAAGAAAAAAAAAAAGGAGATAAAAAAGATATTAGCTCTAAAAAAAAACCTAAAAAAGTGAATTCAAAAGAAAAAACAATAAAATCATCAAAAGATAATGACAAAAAAAATGAAAAAATTCACAAAAATGATTCATTTAAAAAAAATAAAGTAATTGAAAAGAATAAAAATGATACAATAAATGTAAACAACGGACGTGGTAAAGCCTGTTTTCTTTGTTTCTGTTGTGGAGGAAATGAAGAAGAAAAACTAAATGAATTAATAATGGAAGAAGAGAGAAGAAAAGAAGAAGAAAGAAAAAAAATAGAAAAAGAAGACAAAAAAAAAAGGGAAGATGAAGAAAAAGAAAGAGAAAAAGAAAGAGAAAGAGAAAGAGAACGATTAAGATTAATAGAAGAACAAGAAAAGGATAGACTGATATTGTTAGAAGAAAAAGAAAAATTAAGACTATTAGAAGAAGAAAAACAAAAGCAATTAGAAGAAGAGGAAAAACAAAAAAAAAAAGATACAATATTAAAAAAGAAAGAAGTAAAACCAAAACTATTCACAAAGAAAAGAGCAAAATTAAATTTTATTGGGGCAGCAGCAGCACCCAACCCTCCCCCAGAATCTGCGTGTATTGGTGAACCTCCTCAAGTAAAAGAAACTTCCATTTCTGTACAAGAAGGAATTTATCTCATCTACAACCATGAAAATGATGGACAATTAGAACTACATTATTCAAGAACTGGAAAAAAAGGAAAAGGTGTTTTAGCCTATATTCATTCTAAAACAATACCAGATTTTTACTTCGAAAAAAATATGGGAAAAGAAGTTATATTTACAGAAGTATCCAAAAAAATGCAAAGTGTTTATGTAAATGATTTGAAACCATACTACGAATGTTATATTGAATTTATAAAAATGAAGAAAATATTCAATGGTATATTATATTTTTTGCCTGCTTTTGATGAACAACCACCTCCTAAATTGGATATTGTCTTTTTTAACAGTAAAGCAAAACAGGTAATATAAGAAGACTTATTTATAAAAAAAAAAAAACATGAATCTTATATATATTTTAATATTACTTTTGTTTCTTTGCCATATTGAATTATTTTTATTTACAAATTAACTTTTAAAATTATATGCACTTTGTTTCTTATACAAGCACTACTTTTTCTTTTTCTTTTATTTCTCCATTATGTGTAGATAATTACATAAAATCATATCTTTAGTATTTTATTTTTTTTACAATTTATTAATTTTCTTTTTTTTTTTTTTTAGTTAAATTTTGTACCTGTTGAAAAACCAGTAGAATTTACAGGAGATTATCTTTTTGTAATTCAGAAAGGGTTAGAAATATTCAAGAAGGAAATAAATATGGAGTCCCTTTTCTCTTATATAAATAGCTATGGGGCTTTATTAAGTTTATCTTGAAGAGTATTTATTTAGTTTTCTATTTTGTTCTTTTAAACACTTTTTTATTTTTGTTTTTCTTTATGTATATAAGAAAAAATTAAACGTATTATCAAAAATTTTTATTTTTTGTTTGTTATTTTTTTAATAAATTTATTATTTCGATGTGAAGTAGGAATTATATTTTCTTTCAATTTTGTCTTTATTATAAGTTAATTTATTTAACTTTTATTATTCTTCGTATTTATTTTATTTTGGCTACATAAAACCCGCAATAATAGATCAGTGTTTTACATGTAAAAGTAATTTTTTTTTTTTATTTTTTTTTTTTTTTTTTTTCATAATGAAGTGTTTTAAATTATATTTAAAAAAATAAAAAAAAGTTCAAAGTTTTTTAACGAATAAAATTAGAATAACAATTTTAAAAACGAAGATGTGATAATTTTGTTAAGTGTAAATACTAAAAAAAAAAAAAAAAACAGAATAACAATAACTTTAATGGTAATATTATCATATTAAAAATCATATTGAACATCAAAATGTTCATAATCATCCACGTAATTGTATTTCTCCATTTCTTTTTTGCTTAATTTTCTTTTTTTTTTTAATTTTAGCTTCTGATTAAATTTATAAAATTTGTTAAATTTCAATTTTTCTCCTTCTTGTAAAGCATCTCCAAATTCTTCCCCATATTTTTTGTTGGTCCATAAAGGTTTATATAATGAAATTAAAGCTGGAAATTTTTTTCTTTCATCTTGTAATTCATAACATTGATATTTATCTTCAACTGGATCCTCACAAGATTGATGAGTTCTTCCTTCTCCTCTAATTTCAGTCATAAAATAATGATACATTTCTGCCATTTCATCAATAGACATATTTAATGAATATGATTCATGTTGTTGTTTTACTGGATAAATGCACATATTTAAAACAACAGTTTTATTTTTAATTTCTTTTTCACTACAGTTATGGTTCCCACCTCCAATATAATCAATTGGTTCATTTCTATCAAGATAATATGTAATGTAATCAGGATCATTGTTAGGATCTAAAATATGATCTAGTAATATTTCTTTGGCTCTTAGTAGAGCATGTTCATTAATTAATTTAATTTGCTTCGAGTTGTATTTTTTTTTGCTAGATATTCCAAATAATTCTGTTTTAATTTTATCAATTTTAGGATCATCTTTAGCACATTCATGCCATTCTAATATTAATTTTTTTGTCATTTTATAATATTTAATTCTATTCCAATTGGGATCATCAAAATATCCTCCAAAAAATCCTCTTGCGGAAAGCTCCCATTCAATTTTAGGTTCAGGTATAAAAAAGCAGGGTCCCCTATATCCATAAGGAATAACATGATTTTCGTGAGCTTTATGATTCCATGGATAAATTAAGTTCGATAGATCTTTTGAAAGAACTGGATCTCTCCATGCAGAATTTAATTGGGTAGTTTCTTTCGCACAGTTATAATTCCAATTACCCCACTGTCTATTTTCTAAATCTTCTTCAGTTTCTAAAAAAGTTTGATCTTGGTTCCCATCTGGATCTAAATCAAATCTAATTAATTCATCTTGATTAAATTTTCTCCATTCAACTCCATGATCTAAATGATATGGGATTTCTTTATATCTTGGTCTATCTACTCCACCTTCTAGTTTCAGACCCTTTCCATCATAATTTTCTAATCCTCCTTCTAATTTTCCACATGGTTTTCTTGAATCTTTTTTATAATCCAAATATGCCCACTCAGATTTTAAAAAATTATAATAAGGACTTTGCTCACAAGTTATAGTTTCATGAAATGGAATACTAATTTCCCATGGATAATTTTTTATTGGGTCACTTAAAATTTCTTTATTTTTTTTTTCATGCAGAGATCCTTTAGGGGCTATTATCATATGTATTATGTCTTTATTTCTTTTTATTTTATATTTACCTTTTAATATTTTTTTATACATTAAAATATAACATAATTTTGATATTTTGGATCTTTTTTTATTTAAAAAAATTTTTATTTTTTCTATGTTTTTTTTATTATAATTATCATTTATTCCATCACATGAATAATTTTTAAAAATGATATACGATTTTTTTTCTTTTACATTATTTTTATTTATTTTTTTTTTCCAGTAGTTTATATTATAAATTTTTTCCTTTTCAATATTTCTTTTAATTTTTACCCTCTTATAGAAACTATTGTTATCTTTCCTACATTTATTTAATATCATACTTTTTTCATAAAAAGTGTTAGATCTATATTTTTCATTAAATTGTGAAATGAGATTTAAACATACCCCCCTATAAATTGGAAATAAGTACAAAATAGACAACAATTTCTTCCATATTTTCATTTTCTTTTTTTCACTTTTTTTTTTTAAAAATATTTTTAAAATTAATTTATCTGTTTAACCATTTCCATAAAAATTCTGAAATTATTTTTATTCTATCAATCTTGAGTTATTTGAAAAAGAAATGTTCAACTGCTAATATACATTAATATTTTTTTTTTTAAATTCTACATTTCTCATTCAATTTTTTTTTTTTTTTTTTTTTAAAATATATATAATTATCATTATTTACACAATTATAGACATTTTACAAATTTTTATTATTTCTTTCAATTATTATTTTTACTATTTTAAGATGGAAAGAATATTTCGAGTAAATAATAAACTATTTTTATATGTATGAGAAATATAATAAATTATATCTAAATTTTATAAAGTGTTGGAATTATATTTACTTATTCCATTCAAATAAAGGAAGAAAAAAAAAGAAATAATAAATAAAATAAAATAAATATGAAAATAATCATAAAAGTAAAATAATGTAATATATTCATATATAATAATATTATTCTAATTTTATTTTATTTTTTTTTTTTTAATATAATTTTACATTTATATATTATTTTAAATATTCACTAATATCTAAAAAAAAAAAAAAATAATATATATATATTATTTATAATCCATAAAATAATTGTATGTTTTAATGTAAACACATTTTTATAAATAAAGAACAAAAAAAATATAATTTAATTCTGCTAAAATATAATTATTAAAAAGCATGAATATATATTGTGTATATTAATATTTTTTATTGCAACTTTCATAATTTTATATAATTATATATGTATATATATATATAACTTGAAAATCATCTTTTAAAAAATAATTTTTCATCTTTAAAGAAAATATTATGTATACTAATAAATATTTAAAAATATAAACATATAACATATTGAAGAATATTTAATTTTATAAATAAAATATTATCAATAAAAATTTTCAGTTATTTCAAGTACAGAAAAATCAAAATATCAATTTTTCATCTCCCAAAAAAAAAAAAAAAAAAACCAAAAAACAATGAATATGAAGACTAAATTACATAAAAAAAGTAAAAACGAAAACACAAATATAAAAATACTATAAAAAAAAATATAAAAGAAAAAAGAAGAAAAAAAAAAAAATGAAAAATGAATATTAAATAAAAATATGAAAAAATTAGTTAATTTTTTGATAGATTAAATAGTAAAATAAGATATATATATATATACATATATACATATATATATATAATTATATTTTTTTTAAAAAAGGTAACTTCTGATCAATAAAACAAGAAAATAACATAGATATTAAGAGTAAAAAAAAAAAAAAAAAAAACTTAAAAAAATAACAATGAGGAATAAATTTTTTATTAATATACCGAACAAGAAAAAATTTTATTATTAAACAAAAACAATGTTAATAAAGAAATACAAAAAAAAAAAAAAAAAAAAGAAAAAAATCGAATAAAATGATATAAAATATAACATAAAAAACTATTATAAAATATAGGACAATGCATATATGTGTATTGAAATAGACAAAAAATAGATAACTATTACTTTAGAAGCATTGAATTAATGCATTAAAAATAGAAAAAAATAAAGTAAAATAAGTAAAAATACAACTAAAATAATAGTAAAATAAAATTTAAAACATAAAAATATGGGGAACTTTAAAAAATACTTATTCCTTTAAGTCACTTATAAAAGTACCATAAGTAAAATCATCAAATAGAAATGATTGCTTTTCTAAATCTTTTCTAATTTTACTTTTTAGAATAGTAGATGTTCTTATACAGCTTACAATATATTGAATTTTTTGTCCTATAAAAATATAAAAAAATATTTTATAAGATGAAAAAATTAATTAAAATTGGTTAATAAGATAAATGTGTATTCACTTAAACATACGCATAAATATTAAAAATAAAAAATTTTTTTTTATTACAAATAGCATTATTTTTGGATTAATTTATGTAAATATTTATAAAGTTTTTCTTATTATATATAAGAATATACATATATTTTTTTAACACATTATTATCCATAGTAATATATATAATTTTCTAATAAAAACTCAATTTTCTCTCGTTCATATATGTATATACATATGTAAAAAAAAAGTGTTTATTTTATATAAAAAAAAACTGGCATTCAAATAAAAAAAAAAAAAAACTAAAATAGAAAATAAAATTATCCTTTTATATATTATTACCAGTAAAAAGGGTTAATACAAATTTTATTATGTTTACAGTTATTATAATTTCCATAAAATAACTAAAATAAACACTTTTGCTTCCATAATAATACAATTCATTATTTATTTTCTCATTTGTTATTAATGCAAATGATAATGTATGTATAACATATACTAATAATTTTATAAAACACCAAATACTTAACATAAAAAAGAATTTGGCTGATTTATGTAACATATTAGATTTATCATTAGAATAGGCATAAAATCCTCTACATGTTAAAATTATAACGATAATAGAATCAAAAATAGAAAAAAAAAAAATTGTTTTACTTAATGTGTTTATATATGGCATATAAATAGCAAATAATAAATTCATAAAAAATTCTAATAAATAAGTGAATATTACTGTATTCCATAATATATATAGAAAAATTTTTGTTTTCACTGTTTTATAATTATCTATATTGAAATTTAATTTATTTATTCTCAGAGGCCATTTATTTCTACTATCTTTATAAATATTACAAAGTTGTAAAAAGTGGTAATTATCAGACATATTTATTTTTATCTTTAGAAAAAATAAAAAATAGAAACGCACTTTTTAAAATTATTTTAGATATTCAAGTAAATTTTATATATCTATATTTCTTTCCTTCTTTATCTGTATTTCTATATATCTATCTACCTAGCTATCTATCTATCTATTGAAATTGAAAACAATTCGTCTTTATTTTTTTTAATGAAAAAAAAAAGTTAAATTTTATCTAATATTGAACTAGTTTTTACTTCATTAAAATTAAGAATTTTAATAACAAATTTTAAAAAAATTTATATTAGAAAATTAGATAAAATATTCTATATAATAAGATTCTTTTAATGTAATAAAAAATTTTTTAAGATACATAAATACTTAAATTAAATATGCTTAGTAAATATACAATTTTTCAAATAAATTATATATATATATGTATATATATATATATGTGCATATAATAATAATAGCTATAATATAAACAAATACAATCATTTATAAAAAAAAATTTTAAAATATATAAAATATATTTTTTCATAATGAATTATTTAGATAAAATAAACAAAAATCAACAAAAAGCTAATTCAAAAAACGTATACATATTTATATGCATCAGTATTTTTATTTATTTTTTTCTACATTTTATTTGTTTTAATTATTTTTAATTTTTTTTGTTTATTAAAATATAAATATATCTTAATTTATATTAATAACGCTTTTATTTATTTTTTTTTTTTTTTTAGCACAATTCTATTTTTTTGTTGCATTATAATATTAATAAGGAAGAAATGAGTGATTTTCCTATGTCTTTAATATTTTTCTATGTTAAAAGAAAATTAAAAAAAATCTATTAAATTATGAAAGGACATATTAAAAGAAGTTATTTTTTTTTTAAAAAAAAAAATTTTTTTTTGAACATATATCTCTACATAGAAAAGAAAAATAAAAACAAAATTATGCAATAATGTGCAACCTTATAAAAAAATTAAAAACAGATGTTCTTTAATTATCATTTGTCTTTATAGAATAAAAAACAAAAAAAAGAAATAATAATAAAAGTAAAACAAAAAAAAAAATTCAAACTAAAAATTCTTTGAGTACAAAAATATAATTAAAAAAAGATAAAAGAGAATAATTAAAGTGTAAAAAAAAAAAAAAAGCATATAAACATATAAATGTACAAGTTCAGTTATTTTATGAATGAAAAAAATAAAATAAAAGAAATATATAATAAAATAAAAAATATATGAATAAAGGTTACATCTCATACAAAATATTTTTAATAAGAAATGTATAATATATAAAATGGAAAACAAAATAATGTTTTTTTTTTTTTTTTTTTCTAAAGTGATTTTTTAAGGAGATACGTAAACATATATTTATATATAAAGGATGTCTATTTTGTTATTCTTCACTTTTAAATATTTTTTTTTTTTAATCTACATATTATTTTTTTCATAAATAAAGATGTTTAAAAATTTATATTTTCAGTGACAAAATAATAACATACGGGAAACAAAAAAAAAAAAAAAAAAAAAG